TAGTAGTTTATTAAATTATATTTTATATGCTATTGAAATGGATTTTAAAATTAGGCAGCCTACTTTATGACATGAAACATCATCAAACTGCAAAGTTGCTGCCTGAAACTGATATCAATTTGGATGTTTAAATTTTGACATTACGTGATTAAATTATTTTATTGAAAGGATTAATTAAAAAATTAAAGGTTCAAATTTGTACTATTTTCAACTGTATAATGTTTGTAAATGTCATGTGACATCATTGACTAGTATTTGGGGATGTATACGGGTTAAGGGTGTTACACTCTTAGCAGAGGATTAGGGAAGCATGAGACTCTTACTTCAGTGATAGAACAGTTGAACCTTAAATAGGTAGCACTTGATTAAGATCATGCATGTATCTACTGCTTAGTACTATGCTTTTAGCATGATTGTGTTTATGAAACTCATAATGCTTCTTTAGATTTGTGATTACACTGTTGGGCTTTGTAAACTCAGTGTTCGAAAGTTTTCCATTCGCAGGTGATTAGCTTAATCCGATTGTGGAGCACTTTCGCAGTAGGACTTCCAAAATCTCCTTCAGAATATTGTATTATAACTTTAATGGGCATATGTATTCATAGAACCTTACTAATGTAATTGGCTTATTGAATTCTAAGTTTGTATTATTTTTAGTTTAAATAATGTGTCACAGAGCTCCAGTTTATATAATGTTTTCATAACAGTTATTTATGTTTAATCTTGGAACCATACAATGTGTTTTAGAAATGGAAATAAACAGTTTTTGAAATTAGGGGATGTCTTGACAGTCTAATGTGGCACTTTAGACCTAATCAAGTTTAGGGTATTACGAAACAGGGTTGTGGTCAGAGTTGATACGGTCAAGGTGAATGATTTTTGTAGCAGGATACACACTCACCCATTTTTCGTTCATCAAACCCCAATCCAACTTCTTCCAAAGGCTACCTCTTTTCCAGGTAACACCCATTTTTCGTTCATCAAACCCCAATCCAACTTCTTCCAAAGGCTACCTCTTTTCCAGGTAACACCCATTTTTCGTTCATCAAACCCCAATCCAACTTCTTCCAAAGGCTACCTCTTTTCCAGGTAAAATTTTGGCCCTGATGTTCTATGTCTATGAGCTCTTTTTTCAAAATGAAATCATTGAAACACTTGCTGCCACCACAAGGTTCAAATACTATCAATTTCTTATTATTTCCTTTTTATTTCATTTTTCAAATAAAAAAATATTTTTTTTACAATCTAAAAACAATTGTTGGGTTTACTCTAGCGGTAAAGGTGTGTTCATCCTCACCTTAGTTCCTTAGATCAATTTCCCTAGATAATATCATTAGTGAAATGTGTCGTAATAATATGTTGACATATGACACCTTATCTGGAGAGTTAATTTTTTAAAATTAAATTAAAATTAAGACTAAATTGATAGAATATATAAATATTGAGGACTAAATGCACAATTATGTTAATTTTATTAACTGTCATGTTAGCAGTTTCATTAAATGTTAACGTTATATAGCTTGATTGAAATCGCTTAAATAACTATGTGGTCATATTGCCAAAACCGATAGTATGGTAGCCATATTGATACTAACCGCATAGTTAAGTGGCTATTTGAGTAGTTTACCCTTGATTTTTTTTCTTGGCAAATCTTAAATCTAATCTTAATCATACTTAGAGAGGAAGAGAAGATGAAACTTTTGGGGAAGAAAGGGGAATGCTCCTAGTGAGTATCAAATCCATAACCTAAGAGAATATGAGAGAATAAATATAAATAGTTTAGCCACCCAACGAAATATGCTTTCTCTATGTTTTTCTCTCTTCAATCAATAAAATCCTAACTGATTAATTTTAAAAGGTTAATATCTCATGAAATGAATTCATTAAGTGGCCGCAGTGATGAGAGAAAATATTTTTTCTAGAAATTTTAAATTCGTATAATTATATTTACAAAATATATTAATTAATCAAAATTTATTTGAACATATAATATCTTATTATCGCCTTAAACTATTAAAAAAATATTTCATGCAACAAGCCAACATATTCTAGTTAGGGGTGAGTGTTCGATCGAGTTGAATAAAAAAATTGAGTTGTTCAAGTTGACGAGTCCTATTTTATAGCTTGGAGTTGACTTGAAAATTTTTCGAGTCAAGTCGAGTCAAATTTTCGAGTTTCTATTTAAATTTAATTATAAATAGTTACAATATTATGACATTATCTGATTCTAATTTTAATGATAATATATATATATATATATATATATATCATATGTGATTTACTTATACCATATAAAGACGGACTTAACTCAAACTTCGACTCAAACTTGGACTCAAACTTAAAAATTAATATACTAATTACTAAAAATTTTAAATTATTCGAGTTATATTTTACAACTAGATTTAAACTTTATTTTTTTACATCAAGTTGAGTTTGTAAAAATATAATTCGAAATCAATTAGAATTAAATTTTTTCAAGTCGAGAAAAATAAAAAAAATCAGTTTTTTGGAATCCAATTTTACTAATCCCTTGTTCTAGTAGGTAAAAAACTGTTTTTTTTTTCCTCCTTCAAACACGTCAAAAACCAAAGCAAGTGGGTCTCCTCCGGTATTCATTTCAACGCAATCAAATATTCTTTTTTGTTTTCCAATATTTAATTCCTTTTTCTAATTTATTTTATATAAAATAATTTATTTTAATCATAGTTGATAATTTATTCGAATTTAAAAAAAAATATTATCTGAACCGATAGCTAAGAATGACCTTGTCAGTCTTTCCATCAACAGCCACGTAAGTCCGTTATTTCAAACTTTGGACCCACTCAAATGGATATAATTGTAAAAGCAGTAACAGATATAGTCTTCTAATTTATTTATAAACTTAAAAATGGATTTTTTTCAATATATTTGACATTTGTTTATATCATAAAATATTTTTAATAACATAAAATAATTATAAGATAATATCATTTAAAATTTATCTTAATTATTAATAATTTATTATTTTTTAAAAATAACATTTTTATAATCATTAAAACCGTTTAAAAAATTTGTTTATCTAACAAATTCAATGCATGATATTGACATCTTTTTTCTTTGGATAAGTATAACCATGAGTAAATGAACAAAAAAATATAATAATGTTACTTTTTTTTATTTCATATTTTTTATTTCCCAAGATTTTTATTATTTTCTTATTTTCCTAAAGTTCCGACTAATATTGAATCGGATGAATTTGATAATAATTTTTAATATTATTTTAATATTGATATGTTATGATTAAATTAAATAATAAAATATTATATAAAGAGTCAAATCGATTTTTTTAATTGTAAAAAAAAAATAAGTCATAAAATCAAGAAACAACAGTTTTACAATAAGAAGGATAAAAATATCTAAAAGATAAATCTTATATTTCTTTAATTAAAATAACATCATAAATAATTATTCGGAAGTATTGAGAGCTATAAAATGGGTAAACTATGCGGACAGTCCCTTATGTTTAGGGTCTGATTGACTTTGGTCATCAATTTAAAAATTAAGGGGAAATGGTCCATAACGTTATCGATCCATTCGATTTTAATCCCTCAACCATTAATTTTTGTTAATCTCCTTTTGTTTATGTCCCTAAAATGATTGAGGGTCTAAAATGGAACGAGAGTTAATGACTGAAGGACTAAAATTGAATGAATAGATAATGTTAGGGATCATTCTCTCTTAATTTTTAAATTATTGACCAAAGTCGGTTATACCGAAAATATAAGGAACTATCTACATAGTTTAGCCCTATAAAATTAACTATTATATCAATTATATTATTATCTTTACGATAAATTAATTAGTATTCTATTATAATCTAAATATTATTTAAATTATTAAAAATAACTATCATCAAGTCTTTCAATTTTACCTCCATTATATAATTGTTTTTATTAATGTAAGTATAAGTGAATATCTGTTCAAGATAACTCTTAATATTTGGACATTAAACATTTGCACTCCTACCTTTATGGTGCTTGAACTTAAATCTTCAAGAATAATAACAATAACTTTATTAAGTAGGTAACTCCTCTCCTCAATGATGTAAATCTGCATTTTAGGAACATACTTGATCTTTTAAATGCTCGACATTTCTCAGTCTCTATGCTATGCTTATTTTTAGTAATAGTGATGTCAATTATTGCGCAACAATATCCAATGACACCATTGAGACGTTAAGAAGTTCAATGCTTGTGCTGAAATTAATTCAATGATGGAACTCCAGATCTTGGTTGGAATTTCTTATTTTGTATTTGTGTTGATACTAGTTTATAATTTTTTTTTTTGTAAAAAAATATAATCCCCTTGGTGTTTTTCTGTTGACTTATTAGCTTACATATATATTTCTGTCTGATCAGTACTTGTTTCCCTGTCTTCTTCTAGGGGAACGACGATATAGCATTGGTTCAGACAAGGTGGGCTTTTGTGAATAAGGATGAGAACTTGCTCATAAAATTGCAGAACATAAATTTATCATTCCATTTTGAGGTTGAACATCAGATGAATGGTGTGTTTATCAACTTCTTTGGCTTCAATAAAAAATAGCATTTATGGTGTGTTTATCAACTGCAGTAACCGTTGTTAACAGTGAACCAACGATTTGTTATAAATAAAATATTAATAATTAATTTATTACTTTTAGAACACATTAGTGGAGAAAACTAAACGTACTTAAACATTAATCAACATTTGTATAGTTTACCCAAATATAAACCTCGAGACTCAACTCGGAAAACATTGGGCTAAGTCACCCTATAACCGAGTCAATATCTTTATTACAATTTAAATATTGTTTGAAAAATAGATATTACCCAATTAACCGAGTCAACCTGAACAACACGAAACAACCATCAGATTTTAATCCAACGGTTCTCATCACCTCCTTTTACATAACGTATCTTTTCTTCTATAACGACACGGAAGGCAATGGACAAGAATATCTTACCACGTTTCATCCTAGTATCCATCTTAATGGGACTACTTGCTTAACGTCCTACACATCACCACACCATATTGTTCTCCCCCCTTCCCTCCCTCCCTACTCCGATTCACCCTCACCGGCGAGAATTGTACCCCTCGAGTTCCGTTCAGAGTCACGCCCCTCGAGTTCATATGGACTCAATCTTCTTATAAGGAACGAGTAATAAAGAGATTCAGGAATTTCACAAGTTGAAGGCGATGATGGGAAGTTTACCGATTAGCCGTCGATTGGTTTTCAAGTTGCGTCAAGTTGGAATCGGGACCCTTGGATCGGCGAAGAGCAAGCTCCTTATCTTAGGTTGCGTTGCGTTAATTATACTCGCCGTTTCGAACCGAAACCGCGACGGTTCTTCTTCGTTGATTGGATGGACTGGTGAAGTTGACCTCTCTTCTTCTCCAAGGTGCGTTAATTATATTTTCATTTGGCTGTTCTTTTAGATTTTGTTGATCAGATGTAAAGCTAGGGAACGATGACTATAAAAGATCCGTTCCTTTTTGGAAACTTAAAGTAAATTTATCATCTAAGGTTCTAAATTAGGATTTTTATTAAGAAAACCCCATCAGGTTGTTATAAAGTTCTTTGAAATGTTCTTATTTATGGAAATTTAATTATTTATAAAACTATAACATTAATTAGCATCTTAGACTTAACCAGTTTCAGCCGAAATTATCTGGAAATGATAGATTGTTTAAACTTAAAATTGATAATCTTTTTAGTGTTTATTCTGTTCGATCTTTAAAGAAGGTTTTCGTTTAAATTTTGTACTCAAACAAAGCCCTTTTGAGCTTAAATTGTTATAAAAAAAATGACAAAAGATTATTGATTTTACTGATAAATTTCCCAAATTTGATAATAACGTGATGATGTTCTCTACTGGATTGTGTAATCTTTTTTATACAGGGGAAGATACTCTATTGTAATGAATACTTGGAAAAGATATGATCTCTTGAAGAAGTCGATTTCCCACTACGCTTCATGTCCATTGCTCGATTCAATACATATTGTATGGAGTGAGCCTGATCCTCCGTCGGATTCGCTTAAGAGATACCTTAGCCATGTTATGCGGTTGAGCTCTAGAAAGGATCAACAAGTTGAGCTGGTGTTCGATATCAATAAAGAAGATAGCTTGAACAACAGATTTAAAGAAATTAAGGACTTGAAGACAGATGCTGTTTTCTCGATTGATGATGACATTATATTCCCTTGCTCTTCCGTAGAGTTTGCTTTTACTGTTTGGCAAAGTGCCCCAGATACAATGGTGGGATATGTCCCGCGTATGCATTGGGTAGATCAAAAGGTACACTATGCATCTGTATTGCATCTTCATCGATTTCAATTTTAGCTTCACATTAGTGGCCAATGTTCTTAGTTAGGATCATTTAACTTCAACATGTTACTATGAGCATTGACTTAAAGTACTAAAACTCATGCTTCTAATTGAATGAGATGGCTCAATGTTTTGGATCTTGAAGTTTCCATTTCTTTGGTTCTGCATTGATTGATGAATGTTCCGTATACACTGCAAAGTTTAGCTTACAGATTCATCCATATCTCTTATAACATATACACTTGATTGAAACCTTTTACATGAATCAGCTAATGGATTGAACTCAGACAATTGATAAATCCTTTTTTGTGGTTCTAAATTTGAGGATTCTATCCAAATTACTCAATAGAAGTACCCCCTTGATTTGTTCATCTTTATGCAGAAAGGAAATGATAAATACAGATATGGTGGATGGTGGTCAACTTGGTGGACTGGTACATACAGCATGGTACTCTCAAAGGCTGCCTTCTTCCACAAGAAGTATCTCAAACTTTACACTGATGAAATGCCAGCATCAATTAAAGAATACATAACAAAGAACAGGTCCTATTGCGGAGTTTTTTCTTTTTTTAAACTGATTCATTGTTTTATGCATCTTACATGTTTATTATTATACTAACTCCAATGCCGGGATTCGCCAGGAATTGTGAAGATATCGCCATGTCATTTCTTGTCGCGAATGCAACTAGTTCTCCTCCCATATGGGTGAAAGGTAAATTAAATGAGTCTTCATCTATACTGTATTTTTATCTTATTTGCAATTGATTGATGGCATATACATTAAAAAGAACCTTTAAAAATAGAAAGTAACAATCGAGATGCTGCAGTAGTAGGCACTAGATGAGTAATAGTTTTGTAATTCGGACATGCCATTATTGCCTGTTTGTATAGATGCTGCATTTTAGTTACTTGTTTCGAAACCATATGAGTGAGCGTACATATAGAAAAGAATTCAACTGATTTTGGTAAACGGATGCTAAAGCTCTGCATGTTTGAGTTTCCTTATAGCTGTTTTTGGTATATTCTTGTGCTCCAATGGTAGGGAAAATATATGAGATCGGTTCAACTGGCATTAGCAGCTTGGGGAGTCATGGTGAAAGAAGAACAGAATGTATTAACAAATTCGTCGATGAGTTCGGACGAATGCCCTTAGTTCCAGCTAATATGAAGGCTATCGATAGCTGCAACAGTTGGTTTTGGTGATGCTTGAGATTCCATGGTTCCAAATTTGCCACTCATTTATAGCACAATCTGCAGGTTGAGATCAATCCAACACTTGTTTTGATTATCCCGAGTTTGTATAATATTTGAATTTTGATGTACGCTTGATATGTTTTGGAGATAACCTGTATTTGTCCTGATTTTTGTACTTTCTTACCGTGTCATGTTTAACTACACGGCATTTCACCATTTTAGATTAATCATTTTAGTGTTCTTTTGGTTTTTCATAGTTGATGTTCATTCTATGCTTTCACAATGTTGTTTTGGCCTATGTTAAAAAAATGGGACCAAAACGACATAATTGAAGATCGGACTTATTTGGATATTCGGAATATAGAACTGAAAACTTTCTTAGTTGGAAAAATTGGTTGAACTACGAGAGACGCCTACTAAAAAATGATAAATCAAGACTGTCAACACCAGTTCTGTTCAAGGATTAATGAAAGGATAAATTACACATTTATTACTCAACTATTACTTTTGTTCTCATTTTAATTACCTAATTTTTTTTCTAAAGTTATATCTAACTTGCGTTTTAGTTTTAGTTTTATTTTGAATATCCACTATTGAAAAATTAATAAACCTATTGACGTGTGTCGGAGTGGTCCTTAAGCTCAGGATCCCCACTCGACTATGTTTGAAAAAATTCAAGTTTTATTTTGATAACAAGTTTGGAGACGATATCGACTTTTGGGTTAAGTAGGTTAAATACCTAAAACATCTCTTTCATGAATTTCAATAAAAAAAACCATTTAAAAGATATATATTGATATGTGTTTTACCAAAAATTATTTTTTAAATATTTAAAAATCGGTTACGCCGGACATGCCAGTCCAACTAACGAGGAGAACCAATGTCGAACCATTGATTTCCATAGGTGGTGTTACCCCTGAGGTGGAGGTTGCACTTCCAAGGATTTACTTCTAACATGTGGGTGATTTGACATAACTGACACCTTTTCCCATAATATTTCCTTTCTAACACCGTTTGACCAATATTTCTCGAAGTAGTACCTTTTTGGCTGAGGTGGCACAAAGGCGCATCCCCGGGGACGCGTTTTACCTGGGTTTATTTTGAGTCGGATGCCAAGCGGGAAAGGCGCATCCGGGGATGCGCCTTTCATTAAATGTCTTAAATACCCATCCGTTTTTCCCCAACTACCCCCCTCCTCCTCCTCTATATAAACCCCTTCAACCCCTCTCATTCTTCACACCAAAATCATCTTCTCCTCTCTTATATAACTCAAATTATCCATCTATTTGAGTTTTAAATTTCTTATTAGTGGTAAGAAATTTATTTTTAAGTTAGTATTTTTTTAAATAGTTGTTATATTTTATATTAATATAATTATATAAATATTATTTTTTTTATTAAAATAATATTTATATAATTATTATTTATTTAAATTTACTAATTAATTATTTTTTGTGCTAATTATATTTTTTTCTACAGTTATAATGGAAAGTGAAATGCTGCTGCGATTGGATGCAAACCATATCTCCAGACATTTTAGTGATATGATAATATTTTTTTATAATTAATGTTAATATTTATTATTATTTTTAATTTAAATTTATCGTGAATTTATATTAATTATAAATTTTTATAATGCATATTATTTAGGAAACTGATCGTATTTTAGAGACATTTATTAAAAACCCACGTATACCGACACCACAACATATTTTGCCATATTTGTCTTCTACCGGGTTCGGGTATATTGCAACAATTATTGGCGGTTGCAAACTCGAACCTGTCATAATTTCTGTATTGATTGAGAGGTGGAGGCCCGAGACACACATATTTCATCTTCCATGTGGAGAGGCTACAATTACATTGGAGGATGTCTCTATGCATCTGGGGCTTCCCGTCGATGGGAATATTATGTGTGGTATGGCGGATGGTGATTGACAGTCAATGTGCATGGAGTATCTTGGAGCTGCTCCGCCAGAGTTTAATGAAGGTATAATAGCTTTATCATGGTTGAAAGCTAATTTTGAAGTTCTAAATGAAAATGCTTAAGATGATGAAGTAAAGGCATGTGCTCGGGCTTATATTCTACGAATCATTGGAGGAATACTGATGCCCGACAAATCTCGCAACCAGGCGCATTGTATGTGGTTGCAGCATCTGATTGATTTTGATGAAGCTGAAAGATATAGTTAGGGCGCTGCAGTTTTGGCATTTCTCTTTAGAGAAATGTGATGTACAACGAATTATAAGAAAACTGCTATCGGTGGATGTCTCCTGCTTCTGTAATCATGGGCGTGGTTCCGCATGACTTTCTTATGCCCGATCGTCAATGAACCATACGTATTCTCCCTATTATTGAGGTAATTTTTGAACTAAATTTTGATTTAAATATTTTTAATTAAATAGGGTGATATTTAGTTTATATTATATTTCATAGGTGGTCAATGAAAAGAAAGAACCATAGAGATATACCTACTGGACTAGAGGAAATCCGTTTACTTAATGATACAAAACCTGTGTCTGAGGTATGTTTTGAAATCTATTTAAATATGAATTTTTTAATTTAAAATGCTAGATATAATTAGAATATTATATTTATTTGAATTGTATATTTATATTTCAGTTTCAATGGATACCTTATGCGAGCGATGAAGTAAAGGCTTGCATCCCACCCCACCTGAGTGGGTCATTAGAGGTTTGGATGTCAATTGTACCTCTTATATGTTATGCTATTATTGAGTGGCATCCAGTTGATCGTGTGCTCCGTCAGTTTGGTTGTACGCAATATATTCCTAGAGCACCTAGGAATTTAGACGACATGCATAACATAGATAGACGAGGAAAGAAAGAGGTTAACTGGGCGGTGAGACACAGAGATTGAATTGCGCTTTGGGAGAACCGGTATGTACAGTTGGCCCATCGATAATTTTACGCTGAAATTGGTCATATGGTTACGGATAACTATATGGACTGGTTTAATGAAAATGGAAAGTCGTTTCTACTTTCGGCGGAAGCACAAGGGGTTAACATTCCTAGGCATCGAGAGAGACGTCCACCGTCTCAAGATCATCGTCCCCCGACTTATGGACGGAGAGAAGACGCTATTAGTTCTGCATCAGTCCCACCACAACATCCCTATCCACCGATGATGATGCCCAGCCCTCCGGGTTAGATGACATCTCCTCAGGGGTATATGCCAAGCCCACCAGTTTATATGCCATCTCCGCAGGGTTACATTACTAGCCCTCAGGGTTACATTCCTAGCCCGCCAGGTTACATGTCTAGCATGTCGGGTTTTATGACACTATATGGAGGTGTATATACGACTATGTTTAATGATCCAACATATGGTTCATATGCATCTTATTTGGCTGGTGGTCCTTCTCCACAGACACCTCAATCTCCATCTGGATCACAGACATTGATGCCAATGTTTTCACAGTTTTCTCAATTTTCTATCAGCTGTGGGATTATTAGTAGCACTCTCCAGGGTCATTTTTTTATACAGGCCCTTCAGCGTCATCTACGCCAAATGAAGAAAATGCCGATGATGATGATGATAGTGAAGATGAGGAGACTGAAGAACAAGTTCCACGAAGAAATCCTCAGCGAAATAAACAACCACCGCCATGTGGAACTCATTTGAGAAGACGACATCAGTGATCCAATTGTATTTTAATGTTATTTAAATAGTTATATTTCATAAATTTATGTAATTTGGTTATGCTATTTAAATGTTTCATGGTTGTTACAACAATATTTTTAATGTTATTTTTTTATTCAAATTTAATATTAAATGTTTGTTAAATGTTTTTAAAATACAAATTATAGTATTCAAAATTTAAAATTAAAATACAAATTATAGTATTCGAAATTTAACAATAAATTCAACTTAATGTTCCAATTGTATTCGAAAGTTATATTCCAATTATAGTTCACAGAACTTAAATTAAAATTAAATTTATCCATACGTATGATTTTATCCTTAACATATACATTAAAACCAACTTATCACTTCACATTTATTCGTAAAAACATGTCGATGCTCATTCCAACAATTTCAATGTCACAACCAACTTATCACTTCACATTTATTCAATTTATCCATAACATTTTATCCAATTTATTCAAACAACCAACTGACCACTTCACATTTATTCAATTTATACATAACATTTTATCCAATTTATTCAAACAACCAATTGATCACTTCACATTTATTCAATTTATCCATAAAATTTTATCCAATTTATTCAAACTTCACATAACGTTTTAATTTAAGTTATGAACTTAAATTTATCCATATGTATAATTTTATCCTTAACTAGCTAAACTTCCAAAAAGAAATTAATTTTTGGTTATAATTTACCTGATTTCACCATCCATCTATAGTTTCCCGGGGGACATGAGTGATATAATAGGGCAATGATAACATATTCTCTAACAAAATAATGGAAGGCGCGCCCCCGGGAACGCGCTTTCAAGTCCCCTAAAAAATAATAGGTACTGCCATGAATAGTTCTCCGAGGGAAATGAGTGACATAATAGGGCAATGATAACATATTCTATGACAAAATAATGGAAGGCGCCCCCCCGAGAACGCGCTTTCAAGTCCCCTCAGAAATAATAGGTACTGCCATGAATAGTTCCCCAGGGGACATGAATGACATAATAGGGCAACATATTTTCTGACAAAATAATGGAAGGCGAGCCCCCGGGAATGCGCTTTTAAGTCCCCTCAGAAATAATAGGTACTACTATGAATAGTTCCCCAGGGGACATGAATGACATAATAGGGCAATGATAACATATTCTTTGACAAAATAATGGAAGGTGCGCCCCCTGAAACGCGCTTTCAAGTCCCCTCAGAAATAATAGGTACTACCATGAATAGTTCCCAGGGGGACATGAGTGACATAATAGGGCAATGATAATATATTCTCTGACAAAATAATGGAAGGCGCGCCCCTAAGAACGCGCTTTCACCACTTTGCCAAGTCCCCTCAGAAATAATTGGTACTGATATGAATAGTTCCCCGGGGGACATGAGTGACATAATAGGGCAATGATAACATATTCTTTGACAAAATAATGGAAGGCGCGCCCCCGGGAATGCACTTTCACCACTTTGGGTACTGACATGTATAGTGCCCCCAAGGGACATGAGTGACATAATAGGGTAATGATAATATATTATCTGATAAAATAATGGAAGGCGCGCCCCAGGAACGCGCCTTCAC